ACAAAAGGTTGTGGGTTCGATTCCCAGGGAACACACGTACTGGTAAAAAAATTTATAACCTGAATGCACTGTAAGTTGCTTTGGATAAAAGCATCTGCTGAATGCATTAATTATTATACATTTAATTTTCAAACATTTACACTAGGCAGGGTTGACCTTACAGTAGTACTCAATACTGATTACTGTCAGACTTTCATAATCCTTCATCACTTGATTATAATAATTTAAATTTAATTTTAAAACAACCACCACAAAATTTAGCACAGACTTTAGCACCTCTTTTTACTTTGAGATTGTTCTGAGGTTAAATACAGATTTATCTGTAGAATCTGTCTGTCTGTCTGTCTGTCTGTGTGTGTGTGTGTGTGTGTCTGTGTGTGTGTGTGTGTCTGTGTGTGTGTGTGTGTGAGAGCGAAAATATTCAGATGTAACCCAGATGTAAATCGTTAAAATTTCCATAAGTAACTGTAATTTAATTACACATTTTCTCAGTAACTGTAACAGATTTACATGTAACCGTTACATGTAATTAGTTACTCCCCAACACTGCTGTTGTGCTGCTTAGTATTTTTGTGGAACAGCAATACTTTGATCTTCTTTGCTTCTTTGAACAATAGAAATCAAAAGAACAGCATTTATTTGAAATACAAATTTTGTAACATTATAAATGTCTTGACTTACACTTTTAAACAATTTAATAAGACATTGATGAATAAAAGTATTAATTTATTTGAAAAAAATCCTACTGACCCCAAACCTTTGAACGATATGATCAAGAAGAGTACAGCATAAAAGCTTGAACTAATAGTGGTGACTCTCAGCCTTACAGTATTGTCCCCACTGTAATCTCAAACTCTGATCAGGATGAGCCTCTCTAAAGTTAGACTGTATGAGATTTACTATTGTCCCTTGAGCAAGAAAAGTCTGTGGCTAATCCAGTACAGCCCAACCCCCATCTGAGTCCAGTCAGCGGCTGTAACTGAGAGCTGAGTCTGAGGAGGTCAACAACAAGCAGCTACAGTAACACTTCTTTGATAGTACAGGAGGAGTTTTCTGGTACAAATCTAATTGAGTTTTGTCAAAATTCAGAATTGTTTGCATTTATTCAGATACCATTCATCCACCCCCACAACTCAAACAGGTACGATGAATCAGGCAAATGCAACCTGACAGAGGAACTGCATATGTGAAGGCCTTTAATACTTCAAGAGAGCTAGCTGTTAGCATCCATATTCATTGTGAAAGCAGCTGTTAAGATGCCGCATGTGATTTGAAATCTGCCAACTATGCTCATGGCTATCAATGTAAAAAGGTATAGTTTAGCCTCCAAATGGAGTAGTGGCAGCATGCAGAACATTGTCATCTAAGGTTCCATGAAGAACCTTTGACATCCACAGAATCTTTCCAGTGCACAAAAAGTTCTTTACAGTGCAAGGGTTCTTCAGATTATTAAAATATTCTTCACACTAAGAAATGGTTCTTTTAAGAACCAAAAATGGTGAAAAAACACCAGTTTTGGGAACTTTATTTTTAAGTGTAGATATGGCACACGGAACAAAGTTCTTTATTGGCATCTATGTTTCCATGAAGAACTTTTAACGTTAAACATTTAACATTAAAAGGTTCTTCATAGTGGAGAAAGATTCTTTAGATTATTAAAATGTTCTTTACATGAAGAAAGAAGAGACAGAACAAGTTTTATAACTTTCATGATAGCATTTTAGGTCCATTACAATCTCCATTCATATTAAATCTTTTATGTAGGCTACATGTAGACTAGTTCCCCCTTCTGATCCCTTTCGGAGGGACTCCTTCTTAAAATAAAAAGCAGCTATATTTTTTATGCATAAAGACCCATTTACACTGTATAAAAATAGTGATTATATGATAAATTAATAATTTGCTTTTATACTGTACTGAAGCCAAAAGAAAATTATCTGAAAAATATTGACTTTTTATTAAGTGTATAATTTTATACACACTATTAAAGTGTTAAATACTGTATATGAACTTTAGATTCAATTCAACCTGCATTTTCACAGTAAATATATATTGATCACAGTTTAAAATTTTAAGTTGAATTAAAATGCTTTTTAAAATTATACATATTATTCTATTGAATCAGAAAAGAGATCTTTTGTAGTTGCTTGTAGTTTTTTTTGAAGCCAACTTTTTGATTTCAAAGCTTAAAAATATAACAGAAGCACATAACACGATTACTAGATTAATATATTAGCAATATATTGCCACGGTGTTGCTAGGTGTTTTTTAATGACCCAAATCTATGGTAGTCTGGTCTTTAAATTCCTTTATAAGTTTCTATTCAATGCAAGACTATGTTTTTTTTTTCTTCTTGTTTTATCATCCATCAGGTAAAATTTAAGTCTGATTCTTATAAATGTGAAAGCACATCTTTCATGAATAAACATGATTTGAGATAACATTCATGTCTGTGGACAGGAATATTTAAAGATCAATATTTAAGGTTAAGGTTTAACCCTAATATAAGCAAATATTGAGAATATCTACTAATAGCATCAATCAATCTGTGACTGAATTTTATGCACATGATCAGACAACTTATTAAATATTTACTCACAGTAAACAAAAGTATCTGAATAAAAAGAATGACCTCAACCTCTTTTATCACAAAGACCACATGGCACATTGGGTTCTCAGTGAGGTGATTTCTGAGAAACAAGGTCCCTGTGGGCATGCTGATGACTGAGACAGAGAGCAACGGCACACCAGTAGCCAATGTTGATACTTCGACAAAGGCTCAGTCTGTGCTTAAGACTGATCTCCTGCTGTGAGGTAAACAAGGAAAGCTGCTATGGATGTTGGATGGTGCAATCTGTGCACATACAAAACCAAATGGTGAATCACAGCTTGCAGGCTGACATGCCTATATATTAATGTACCATGAAAAAAGAACATAAGGAACATCATCTCATTTTTAGATGTAGAACAATGTGCTCAAACATCTAAATAAGAGTTTACATTGACAATTCCATCCCTTGATTCACTAAAAGTAAATGCTTCTGATCCAGCAGCTCAGGTCATGGAAATTATAAACATATGCACAACGAAGCTAAATAGTGACACTGCATTGTATACCATGATCAATAAATTTATCTTCCTGTACTACCCACCCCCTTATGTTGTGTAACACAGACCTCAAAATTGATTGTGTAGGTTGAGAAATATGATATTCATGTATGTTCTTTCTTTTTCTGCAAACTGCCAACATACATGATCTGATTAATACTTCATTTAAACATTGCAATCTGTTATGTCATAAATTTAACCCTACTCACTGAAAGATGCTTATGCAACAGCTGGTAAGAAATCTAAGCAGCCTTAAGCTATATTTAGTGCAGTGACCAAACAAAATGGTTCAAAAGTTTGGGATGAATAGCCAAAAATCTCGTTTCTGGGCACACTAAGGATGCATTATTATAAGCAGTTGAAATATTAGACATTAATTATTGTGCCATATGCAACCAAACATAGCAGTTGTGTTAAAATAATTCACAAAGTAGTTCTAAGAACTCAGAGGCCTCTTCCTCTGAAAGAGGACGTGGTCAGACTGACAACTGTGACACAGAACTGAAAGTACAAGTAAGAGCAGATTTTAAAGAAATACTATTTACATTGTGGCATTGTTAGGAATATTACAGGAAGAGTTTACTTCAAAATGATTTTTCACTCATAAGTGATTCATGCAGTTACAATAAACAGGTACTGATGCTTTCAAGGACACAAAAACATTGTGAAAGTATTAGTAGTCCATACAACTCATGCACTGTATTTTGCCTTTTGAATCAACCAGTTTTGTTAACTTGATTCATTGAAAACATCTAACCCAAAAGAATTATTTATTCAAAGAGAGCTAATGTCAAGAGTAACATCATAAATAATAATAAAATCAATACGTTTTGGCCTGTTTCTCACACAAAGCACAAGACTCATATGGACCAAATGCTCCAAAGTAAATGATGAAGAATTTTCATTTTAGGGTCAAACTATTCCTTTAATTTGTGAGGATGATTCAACAAACAAACTGCTACAGCTCAGCTAATTGCTGTAATGAGTCACTGTTGCAAGTCTTAATAAATCCAGTTATTTAGAGATATTTTTTGACACAGTTCCATAGAGACAGAACACACCTTTAATATTGGCATTACTGCAAATATTATGCAAACACACCCATATAGTACACTGACATTAAGTCATTACTTATATATATATATATATATATATATATACAGTGTTGGGGGTAAACGCAACATTGTAACGCATTACTTTTAAAAGTAACTTTCCCCAACACTGTGTATATATATATATATATATATATATTGAATAGTAGTAATCAATGATGGAGAAATATGCTCTTTGCAGCCAGATGTCATAGATCTACATACATCTACTAACGGGAAAACGGGACCAATTCAAAACCTACATCTCCTAGTTTGTCATGATAATTCTATATCAGTGTGTCTGATACAAGTGTATTCTAATATTCCCTTGATTACTTCCCACAATAACTACCTACCACGTGCCTCACAAAACAAAGGGTTCCTCCTTTCCAAATATGGCTATGAAGTTATCAAGTACGATACTGATTTGATGACCGAGTAGCTATAATTCAGAATCTTCTTAGAAATCAAGTAACTGTTACATGAAGTAATGTCACGTTCAGTTGCACCAGCATTTGGGTGCATAGAGTTCACACACGTGGCTGTCTACATCGTTTTTTACACTCGGGAACTCTTATGTAATGCTACAATTGATACAGAGATCTGCGGAGACGTATGGGGGTGCCAAAATAATTATAACCTCTAAGAATGCTAAACCGAGCAGACAATGTAATTTATGTAGCAGCTGATCCGTATAAAATCTCTCTGCAACTTTCTGATTTCAATATAACACATGCGTTTACATTTGATAACGACTGAGCATGCGCCCCTCTCGCTCAGAAATGGTACGTGCCGGATTCCGCGTCATCCATTGTTTACAAATCAACCCTTGAGCTGTTTCTGTTGGGTAGCGTGACGGACGCCGGCTTAACGACGGTCCCATCCGTTTGAATAAAAACAACCATCACGACTGGATATTTGTTATCTAAAGCTATATTGAAAATGCCTTGTCGAAAGGAGAACTATATCTTTTTGGAACAGTCGGTAACGGTGGATTCTAAGGAAGTAGACGCTCTCGTGTCGAAAATCGGCGAGGCGCTGCAGCTTCACAACAATAGCTCGAGCCAGAAGGCGATGTCACGTCTACACGGTCTCGCGAGCAGCAGACCGAACGGCAGCAACAACAACAACAGCAGCAGCGCGGCGGGCGGTCAGCGGTGCATCCGTCTCCGCAGCCGGAGTTTACGTACCAGGCGGGCCAGTCCGTACAACCCACCCGGATCCAGCGACCAGGAATGGGACCATTTCAGATCCTCGTGGAACCGAAAGAAAATCGACGAGGACGATCCGCACCAGCTCCTCCAGGAACTCGTATTGTCGGGGAACCTGATCAAGGAAGCGGTCAGACGACTTCAGTTTACCTCGGAACCAGCGGAGCACGACATGTCCAAATCTGTAGACAGACTTCACGAGCCCGCAGATGCATGAACGTCCTCACGTTTTCAGAGCTCATTGTCATACGTTGGTTTTACAAACTTTGATATCACACCCTTATGATTTTTCTATTGTATATTGCTGAGATGGAAACGTTATGTATTTTGGACTCTTTTTCAATGTGGCCCTACCTTGTTCACTCATTTTTAAATCTCAGTGTTTGGATTGAAATGCAAATGTGATGAAAAAATCTAGTGGTTTATAGCAATGCGTTTTATTATAGTATTAACTGGCCTCTGGTTGGTTTGTCCTAGAATGGTGCATCATGTTTTGGTTTGCTGGAGTTTAGCACTCCCAAGAACTGCTCAACTGTTTTGTTTACAATGTAGATGTGCTCTGGCTGCTGGTTTGCTGTCCTCACCTAGATCAGGCGATGGGTCACACTTTTTGTTTACTAATTTTGGACCTATGTTTGGATACCGAGATATCACTATTTTGATTTCAAACTGGCCCTGTGTGCACCTCATGAGGACCTTGTCCTCTGTCCCTTTGATTTCCAAGCGAGGAGCAAGGCCAACACTCCTTCTCAAAAAGAAACTGAGATCAAACTCTGTGTGTGGGTAAATGTGTTAGACATGGGGGATGTGATCACAAAACAATGACACTGTGGTGTTTTTTTATTCAAATATGGAGTTCTTAAGGATTTTTTGGTTTTGTTTTTTCGTTTTCACTCTTGTGTAAACTCTGCATATGCTTCGCAACGAAGTGTTTTTAATAGCTCTGATTGTTCAGAGAGTTTGGTGTCTAATAAACATGGAGTTTTTTTTGCATACGATAGTTTCATATGTCTGTTTCTTTAATCGTTTCTGGTTTGTATGCACATTTTTGTTGTTCATACCAATTACGTGGATCACCATCATTCATATGAGGTATTACTTCAAGTACTTCAAAGACCACATGTCCACAATTTAATGTTAAAACAGGTTTTTTTTCTATTAGTGACTTAATGCTTATGTTACACTTAGATCGAGTTCTATGTTGTTCATATAAGCTTCAGGTTTTGTTTTTTTTTTTTAAGTAATAATAAAAACAAAACCTGTTTTTATGGCGAATTGGCAGTTTTGTGGAAAACCAGAAAAACAAAAAGTTTGATTTATGAAATTAGCATACTCTAGTATAAGATTAATATAGGCTACCTCAGCTTTTCATTCAAATTGTTTTGTTGATAATATACTTTGAAATGGAAAAACTATTGAATTATAAAGAATGCTAAATAGATGCATTTTCAGTAATGTCAGACCAATAGTCTTTTGGACCCCATATATAGATGTGTGTGTGTGTGATTCAAGTACTATATAGTTTATACTGTCCTCAAGTACTATAGTATTTCACTACACTCATTAAGAAAACGTCAACATAGATTGTCCAAGAATATGCCACGTTATTATGATAAGCGAAAATACAAGCTGACTCACCACAGCTATATCTGAAGTGATAAATGTAGCTATGCTCTTTGAACACTTTGTGATTTAAAGTTAATTAATGACTAGTAATGTATAAATGCAGCATTATTATAGAGTCTAGCTAATACAAATGAGGTTAGAAAATTAGAGTCTCACTTCCGTGTAGGCATTTTGTCCACCCTGTTGAAAAAACCAGCATATGTTTTGACGTTGGGATGCTGGTTTAAGCTGGTCCTTTGCTGGTTTAAACTGGTCCTTTGCTGGTTTATGCTGGTCCTTTGCTGGTTTAAGCTGGTCCTTTGCTGGTTTAAGCTGATCCTTTGCTGGTTTAAGCATAAACCAGCAAAGGATCAGCTTAAACCAGCAAAGGACCAGCATAAACCAGCAAAGGACCAGCATAAACCAGCATCCCAGCGTCAAAACATACCTAACCAGCATATGCTATTTTTTTCAACAGGGATCGCCCAGTAGATGGCAGCACAATGCAAGTCACAACTGCGCTGTAGGAGCGCAGAGAGGGATAAAGACTTATTTCACGAATAATATTGCATTCGTGGAGTCGATTTATGTGATTGACATGGCTCACTTGATTCTGATTGGTCAATCACGACACTAAGTGGAACATATTTTTGTATCTAAAATTCTTTAGATAGGCTACTGAATTGTGTATGAATACATTTCCATGCATAGTCTACTACATCCTCCATTGCTGTTGTTCTTAATTTGAACTATGATGTAATTCCACCAACTTCAAAGAGCAATTTTCTTAGCACACAGATCTCCGACATTTTCAGCATTTCAACTCTCATCATAGTCTCATCATGGCGTAACGTGTGGACTGGTGGCACACATCAGAATCTCTTATTTTTCACCTATTATTCGGACGTTTACTTTTTTTTGACACACTAGCCTACTGCATATTATATAGTTGGGAAGTATGCAAAAGCAAGTATATTTCAGTGTTGATAACTGTGCTAGGCATGTGTACTTTTCAACACAAGGTCACTGGCGCCATCTTGCAATTTAAAAAGGTACTGTAGAAAACTAGTTAAAAATGGCCTGTGGGACTTCAGTGTTAAGCTTTATGGTGAATATAAACATTTTGTTAGATCAGGAATCTCCAATTCAAGCACGAAAATGAAAACATTACTCAGAAGAGCAATGAGTTAGATTAGAAAGAATGTACACTAAAAATATGCAGGGCTATTTTTGGCTCCTCAAAGAACCTTTCAGTGAACTGTTATTAAAATAATAACTTTTTCTTATTAGTGTGAAGATTAAGAACATTTTAATAATCTGAATAAATAAATACATTTATAAATAAATAGTTGTTTCCTTGGATGTTAAAGGTTTATCATGGAATCATAGAGGCCAATGAAGAAACTTTATTAAAAAATTTAAAATAAAGAACATGTTATATGCTAAACTGGTCACTGGCGCCATCTTGCAATTTAAAAAGGTACTGTAGAAAACTAGTTAAAAATGGCCTGTGGGACTTCAGTGTTAAGTTTTATGGTGAATATAAACATTTTGTTAGCTCAGGAATCTCCAATTCAAGCACGAAAATGAAAACATTACTCAGAAGAGCAATGAGTTAGATTAGAAAGAATGTACACTAAAAATATGCAGGGCTATTTTTGGCTCCTCAAAGAACCTTTCAGTGAACTGTTATTAAAATAATAACTTTTTCTTATTAGTGTGAAGATTAAGAACATTTTAATAATCTGAATAAATAAATACATTTATAAATAAATAGTTGTTTCTTGGATGTTAAAGGTTTATCATGGAATCATAGAGGCCAATTAAGAACCTTTATTAAAAAATGTAAAATAAAGAACATGTTATATGCTAAACTAGCCCACTAACTTGAACTGCAGATTAATATATTAATTACTATTGTAATTAAGGGTGTGCAATAATGACAAAAATGATATCATTGATGAGTCATTGAGTCATTCAACCGATTCGTTCAAACGGCTTATTGATTCAGTAACGGAGACCGTGAATTTCGAGGGAGAACGGCGTTCCACGTCTTCCAACTGGTTAGATTTATTTATTTATTTTTATTTCTATTTTATTATTTTTTTTAAATGAAAGGTATTTCTATATTTTATTCACTCTCACTGGCGCCATCTTGCAATTTAAAAAGGTACTGTAGAAAACTAGTTAAAAATGGCCTGTGGGACTTCAGTGTTAAGTTTTATGGTGAATATAAACATTTTGTTAGCTCAGGAATCTCCAATTCAAGCACGAAAATGAAAACATTACTCAGAAGAGCAATGAGTTAGATTAGAAAGAATGTACACTAAAAATATGCAGGGCTATTTTTGGCTCCTCAAAGAACCTTTCAGTGAACTGTTATTAAAATAATAACTTTTTCTTATTAGTGTGAAGATTAAGAACATTTTAATAATCTGAATAAATAAATACATTTATAAATAAATAGTTGTTTCTTGGATGTTAAAGGTTTATCATGGAATCATAGAGGCCAATGAAGAAACTTTATTAAAAAATGTAAAATAAAGAACATGTTATATGCTAAACTAGCCCACTAACTTGAACTGCAGATTAATATATTAATTACTATTGTAATTAAGGGTGTGCAATAATGACAAAAATGATATCATTGATGAGTCATTGAGTCATTCAACCGATTCGTTCAAACGGCTTATTGATTCAGTAACGGAGACCGTGAATTTCGAGGGAGAACGGCGTTCCACGTCTTCCAACTGGTTAGATTTATTTTTTTATTTTTATTTTTTTTAAATGAAAGGTATTTCTATATTTTATTCACTCGAGTTCCGCACATAAGTGCAAATATATCATCATACAAAAGCAGCGGGATATGTGTGTCTATGGTTAGCTGCGCAAAGCCGTCTTCTGTGATTGGTCATAATACCCGCAGACCGCAGCCAATGGAAATGCTTCTCTAACAGTGCGCGTTCTGCTCCTCATCATAGCACAAATCGTGAAAGCAGACTGCTTCAGGTAAATTATCTGGGGTGAACCGTGATTTTTGCCGAAATTCTTACTTTAACAGATTCGATAACAGAACATTCGATATAATGAATAAAGCTGTGTTAACGTACAAAACACCGGAGATTTTGTTAAGTGTTGATCATCCTCTCATTAAAACAAAGTGTAGACACGATGTAAATAATATCCATTGTGCAGTGTAGAGCTTCATTGATTATAACAGAAGTTTGTGAGATCGCAACGAACTGAGATGAGTGACAGCTTTTTAATAATAAAGAGAGTTTGCAAATGTGATAGCCTGGTTTTATACAACAGTTCAATAAACAAATAGTTAATATTAAATTACTTACATTTTAGGAACACTGTTTTTGCTCTATTTCATTAATGAAAATAATTCCAAGCTTATCAGCTGCACTTCTCCATTACACAGCGGTGTTTCGTTTATGAGTGAATCTGCGTTGTTGAACAAATCTAGTGAGTCAATGAATCAGTAACCCATTCATAAAGCAGTCAATTGCTTCGTTCCTGAATTAATCATCCGTTTGAACGAACCGATTGAATGAAAGGTTCAGTGACAAAGACAGTGACTTACCGCCACCTACTGGCGGTTTTAGTTTCATTTTGAAAGAATAATTTCATTTATTTAAATAATTTAGTATTTCTATATTCAAAACTTTATATTTAAACATTAAACTCATCCTCGTTAAACAGTCTGTATACCTAAATGCCACTTTTGTGTTCTTCTGTACCACCTCTATAGTGCAAAGATGAATGGTTGATACTGATTTAATTTGATTGGTAACTTATTCTTCCTGGGCTGCGTTTCCCAAAATGGTTTACGGTCAATTTAGTCTTACTATGCTTTTGGGAAATGCAGCCCTTATTGTGTCGTATTCTCATTCAGTTTATTTGTTTCATTCAAGTTTTTAAAAAGGTTGATAATATACATGTATGAATTTGACATAAAATATTACATTTAACAAGGTTAGAAAAAATACATTTTACTTAAGTTGGCCAAATGGAGCATGCAGTGTTTTTAACGGGTTGCTTTGCAGTTGCTAGGGGTTTCTCTATAGTTGCCAGGTTGTTCTGCGTGGTTGCTAGGCTGGTACAAGACAAGTGCACTGCCAAGTTATAAAATGACTTGGATTCCTCCTTCAATGTTCATATTTTTTGTTTTGTCTAGAGACTGATTATCTGTGTTTTTTTTTTTTTTTCAGTTCAGCCAGTAGGCGCCAGCAGATGATTCGTTTTTATGAGTGACTTTTTTTTTTGTATGTGAGTCATTGAATCCTTTATTTAACCGATTCATCGAAAAACACATTCAGCAACAAAACACCACTATGTTTGTTGCTCGGAAACGCGAAACTGTGAA